ACCAACAACCCCGGCCCTATGATTACAAAAAGATGATGATAATGATGATCATGATGACGTCGGTGATGCTGCTGCTGCTGATGATGATGATGATACACCACGCCCTGTGATGAAAACAGGATGATAATGATGCTGATGACGAGCACCTTTGATGATAACCCAATGGTGATGATGATAATGATAAAGATAAGCAGCGCCTATGATGATGAACTTCGCCAACCGCGCTCTATGATGGTGAACAATTGATGATGGTAATACAACGATGAGTAACGAACAGCACCCCTGGAGTGAAGACCTACACCTGATGATGATAATGAGCATTACCCTAATGATAATGATGGTTATGACGAACCATTACCGTAATGATGATGTTGAACCACACCCTGCTGCTGCTGCTGATGATGATGATGGTGACGATGGTGATGACGAGCAGCTCCCTGATGATGATGACGAATTGCGCCGCTACCTGCTTCTGTGTCTTTAACCGTTGAACCAGCTCAAACGAACGCTTGAAACTGCCAGCTCTTTTTGACTCTCCAGCTTGTGACCTCCCACTCCGCATGAGAAGATGCTCCTCACTTTCTGCCCGCATTGCCCAACCGACCTCCACTAGATTCGTGCAGGAGCATAGGAGCAAGGCCACTACCATGCCCAAGATCTCATGAAGACTATCCTAATCACCACGACAGCCTCCCCTTCCTTCAGCGTGTCAACCCGTGACACCACATAAACGAAGCACAGAGCAAGAGACCTCTTCAGCCTAGGTTATCAAGGCTGGAAGTCGAAGCATCACGTCAATGGCCGCGCCAGACAAGACCAAACGGAACCTCGCTCCATCACCCACATCACCTCCTCGATATTCCTCGCCGGGACCCATGCCGACAAGGCCCCACCAACTCACAAGCCGGCTCATGTCGATAGCGGAGCGGCGCAGCGCTCCCGGTCCCGCCGCGCTGCCCCCACCTACACATCAGTTTGCATTCCAGCGGCAAAAGTCGTAGACTGTGGTCTCAGGTTCCCAATTGGGCCCATTTTCTTTCAGGCAAAGGAGAACAAAATCAAGGGGGGAAGGGGGAAGAGGGAGGGAGGGAGGGAGGGAGGGAGGGAGGGAGGGAGGGCGGGGGGAGGCATTGAGGAAGGCTGAGAAGCTGCAGAGAAGCTGCTGTGAGGCTGACACTCCTGAGTTTAACAATAACAAGTGGACCTGCCGCAGCTACGCTGACAAAACATTTTGTGAAACACCCCACCCATCAGTTGGATCCCAACTTTGCAATGTACCCCTACTCTGCCCAACTTTGCAAAATGCCCAGGCAGTTGCTAAGTTTTTGCACACACACAGACAAGAAAAAAAAAGAAAACAGTGTATATTTCCATGTTCTAGCCGTAAATTCATTCTTTTTCATTCGATATTGCTCATCCTATGGATGGAAGTACCCTCTCTCTCTCTCTCTCTCTCTCTCTCTCTCTCTCTCTCTCTCTCTCTCTCTCTCTCTC